GACACATGGCCAACCTGCCACATTCACGAAGTTCTGTTCCTCCCCAGCTTGTGCGGCTGCAGGTCATTCCAGCAGGAGACATAGTGTCAGTCCTCTCCAGCCAGGGCTCAGGCCTTCACAGGACAGCCAGCTTCCCGCACTATCCCAGGCCACTCCCGCTCCTGACCAGCTCCCCCAGCTCCTGGAATCACGCTCTCAGGGCTGTTCCTGGGGGTGAGCAATGAGATAGAACAGAGATACAACAAGAGCCACTGAGATCATTGGCAATTTCCTAGCAGACATAGCAAAAAGAATCAAACTTAATCAGCACATCCAAAATGTTATCATTTCAACGTATAATCAATATGCAAATTATTATGGAGATAATCTTCTATTCAGGATAAATCTTCAAAATCCAGTGTAGTTATTCCATGGAGAGCACATCTCAGTCAGAGTTGTAAGTCAGGTGCTTCGGAGCTGGACACCTGAAGCTCGTGACCACTGTGTGGGATGGCTCACAGCGACTGTCTTTGTCACAGTCTCAAAAGGCACCTGTGACAACCCGTAAAAGCTTAGAATCTCTGCCCCAGGCTTCACCCTACTGCATAGACCCCAACTGGCTCTGCCTGTTAATAGCACAAACCTATTCATCTCAGCTCTGTATTTAAGTGGGAATTTCTTTTCCCCCTGTACTCTGAGGCTTTGACATCTGGAGTTTTGTTGACACTGGAGAAAATCTTTCTAGGGCAGATCGTTCCTAGAGATAGTAAATAACTTCCTGCAAGCTGCTCTCAAATACAAACCAACCATTCCAGAGCCCACAACTCCGCCCCTGATTGTGTGTGTGTGTGTGTGTGTGTGTGTGTGTACATGCGTGCATGTGTGAGGCTTGAATCCAAGGTCTTACCCTGAGCAACATCCCCAACCCTTTTGAAAACATTTTACTCTGAGACAGGTCCTCACTAAATTATTAACTGGCCCAGGCTGGTCTTGAACTTGTGATCCTGTCTCCGCTTCTCAGAGTCCTGGATTATAGGCACCCGGCACCATGATGCCCTCTTCTAACTGATTCTTTTATTAGGCTCTCCCACTCTGGGCCTCTGTCCACCTGTCCTCACCTCTCCAGGTCCAGGGACCAGACAGCTAGGCATAGTGCCCATGCTTTTGAACGGTTGAAATTGTTCAAACCAGCCAATGGCAGGCGCTTCGCTCCCCTGAGCCCCCCTGTGGCCCTGTGTGGTACAGCATCTCCTTGCCTCTGAGTAATAAATCATGGTTTTCAGTGGTAATGGTCTCCCTATCTGTTGGGGTCTCCACACTTCACATTCTCTACTGCCGCACTGCGTTTTAGAGCTCTGTCTTCGGTTTTAGGATTGGTGGTCTGGTTAGGCTCCCTGACAGTCCTGCCATGACCTTCACAAAGAGCAACTGTCTGATCCTCAGAGCTCTGCCTGCAGCCACCAGCAGGCCTTTTTCAGAGCCAGCTATGGTGAATTCAGAGCAGAATTTTTTTTTTTTTTTTTTTTTTTTTTTGTCTTTTTCCTTTTTATCGGTACTGGGGATCAAACTCATGATGCCGCTGAGCTAAATCCCCAGCCCCCGAGCGGAAATTTTCCTGGCTCCAAGTCAGCCTTGGTTTGCAGGGTGTGGCTGTGGAAAGCCTAGCCCGGGGTGGGGAAGGGAGCCCACGTGAGGCTGCTGCCCCAAGGTATCCCAGGAGAGATGCTGTGACCACCAAGACCAGCCCGAAGGTGTCTAACTCCGTGATAACCAACGCATCTCTTGTTTTGATCTCTTAAAGTATTTCACAGGTGACGACCCCTCCCCAGGTGACAACGTATTTTATGACCAAGTGCAGCCCAGCAGATTGCAGGGCCTCTGGTGCCCCCTGATGCAGCATGACCTGCTGTCTTGTCATCACTGGGAGGCTGACCTGTGTGAGCCTGGTAGCAAGTGATTCAGGAACCAGCTCGGGTCCCAGCGGTCAGCACCGTAGGACATCAAAGCTGGAGTCAGGAGCTCTGGATTGCACCTCTTTTTACACACAAGAACCTGTGGCCTGCAGCAAAGAGAGCAGGAGCAAAGGCCAAGCCTGCTGTCTGCTCCCTTAGGGCTACTTAGAGGCATTCTGCCCGTCCTCGTCCTCCCTGCCACCTCTGTCCTCTCTCTGGTCCACCCCTCCTCCCTGCCTTCCTCCTTTTTTGGATATTGGGGAGCCTGCCAGGAGCTAGGTGCTTTGCATCCTGACTGGAGCCATTTAACAGGAGCAGAGAGACGGAGCCCTGCACACCATCCCTGACTCCTGGCCAGCTGGCAGCTGGAGGCCCTTTGACCTGTGTCCAGGAAAGCAGGGCCTGGGCTGTAGAAGGGGCAGCTCCCCCCAGCACCTGCCCACTGGCCAGCACCAATGGCTGCTGCTATTCCTCAGCGTCCCTGGGGGAGCCAGGTGCTGACAGCTAAGCCTGCAGCTGGATGGACAGAGGCTGAAGCTTCCGGACAGACAGCTGTTAAATATCAGCATGGCCCAGAGGGGTAGATCCCCCTCCTCAGGTAGCGCCCCTCCCCCTATTTGGGGCCAGAGGGAGCCTGCACTATGCTCCTTTACCTCAGGGCTCTTTGTCCTGGCAGTGAGCTGAAGGGGACTTATGAGCCCATTTCCTCTCCGCTGCCATCTAACTGGCTGCCATAATGGGTGCCTCTTCTGCTTCTGAACCCAATCACCCTGTCTGTGTTGTGGGGCCCAGATGTGCTGAGGCCAGAGTCCTGGCAGCCTTGCTAGGAGACTGAGGACGGTCAGTCCCAGGACTACCATGGTAACCGTTCAGTCTTTTTTTTTGTACTGGGAATTGAACTCATGACCTCATGCTTGCTAGGCAGGCACTGTGTCACTGCGCTAAATCCCGGGCCTGGTACCGGGGATCGAACTCACGACTGCCTGCTTGCAAGGCAGGCGCTTATGCCGCTGAGCTAAATCTCCAGCCCCCACCATTCAGATTCTTGCACTCTGTTCTAGATCTCAGGTTGCAGTGCTGGGCTTGGCCTAGATATTTGGGCGTCTACTACCGCTTCGGTGCCTCCTGCTGCTGTCAGGGGGAGCCAAGCAGGCAGGAGACCCCTGTTGACTGGGGAGGATGGCAGTGCCCTTGATCAGACCTGTGCCCATCAAAGCCGGGAACAGGGTGGGCGGGGCAAGTGCTCCTTTCCTCCCCCTCTCCTGCTCAGCCCCTCTCCCTGGGCTGATGGCCAGGCCTCCCAGGATGGAGATATCCCTTGGCCCCCAGGAGGAGCCAGAACCCAGCTAGCAACTACTCAGTGTGTCTTAACTAGCATGCAGATCACAGCACACAGGGCCAGTCCTGTCACCCAGCCAGCCAGCAGCTATCCTCCTCTGGGGACCCCAGGCTGGGGCTGGGGGCTGGGTTCCCAGCCCAATGCAGGGGAAGGGGTTCCTGGCCATGTGCTGGTGTTCATCTGCACTCCAGAGGCTGGTGCATTCCAGGATGCCACATCCTGGTCTTGGCAGAGGGACACAGAGTCGCTGCCGCTGAGTTAATTAGACATGGAGGGAGGCAGGCAGAGGGACTTGGCACACAGAGGGCTGAGAGATGCCAAGTGTCCGACGCCACGTGCCATATCTGGAGAGGAGGAGGGGGATGGGCACAGCCAGCTGCCTGGAGGTCACTCAGCCCTGCATGCACCTGCCAATCCAACAGATGGGTTCTCTGTCCCCATCTCGTGTCTACAGGCACCGCTTGGAAGAAAGAGACCCACACCCTCGCAGAGCTGTTTGACCTTGTGTAGAAATCCCTGGAAGTCGCTGGCCCCCCGCAGCTGTGTAAACATCAAGGAACTGCAATGAAATAAAATTAAAAACTTGCCTCCTCCTTGTATAGCTCCATTCCAAGCATTTAGGACCAGAAGTGGCAGCGGCTGCCTTGCTGGACCTCATGGGTGTAGGGCGCTGCTGTGTGCTCTGGTCCTGTGCTCCAGCCCAATATTTGCAGAAACCTTACGGCAGGTACAGTCTTCCGGAGCCTTCACTGGGACTGTTTAGACTTAAATCCTGGGTGCTGCTCCTATTCAGAGCCGGGAAAAGAAACAAACACAAACCCTGCCCGGAGTCCGCCTGCCAATCGAGGTGGGCACAGCGTCCCCACTGTCTGTATCACAGGTGCTGTCTGAGATGCTGGGGTGCTTAGCTGTGGGCAGCGTGCTGATGAAGCTCAAGGAAGCTGGAGTTCATGGACAGACTTCTAGAAAAGCTGAGGCCATCCACCCTCTCTTTCAATTTTGATTTTTTAATTTTTTGTTTCCAAGTTCTGCTGGGGGAGGCCACGCCCTGTGGTCACTGTTCTGGTTATGAGGAAAATCCTCACGCAGGTGTGGGGTGAGCTGCAGAGAGCAGCTCTGAATTTTTTTTTTTTTTTTTGTCTTTTTCCTTTTTATCGGTACCGGGGATCGAACTCAGGACTGCCTGCTTGCAAGGCAGGCGCTTATGCCGCTGAGCTAAATCCCCAGCCCCTAGAGCAGCTCTGAATTTATAAACCCCTCTCTCGACCTGTGTTATACCTCTTCCCACATATCATGCTTCCTGATTGATAACTCTGCCTTTGACAGGAGGGTTTAGGCTATTTATATTCAGTGTTACTTAGTTGGGTCTAAATTCCCATCGTGATATTTGTTCGATATTTACCATCTGGCTTTTGTTCTCTTTTCCTTTCTTTTTTGCCACGTTAATGATTTTTTTCATGATTCTGTTACATTTCTTTGTTGACTTGCCATCTATCATTGCTCCAAAGTTTACATTCTGTACCTTTTTATCTGCCTATATCATAGTGTAAGAGCCGTTAGTCAGTCTTCTGGCTTCTCTGTCCTCCTAGCTTTCCTGTTGCTGGCTTGTATTTCACTTCCATGTATGCAGTGAGGTCAAGAAACACAGTGAATATTTAACCAGTTTTTAAATATTTTATTATAGTATTAGATACATTAGATACACTAACCCCCTTAAAACGCTCTTGCTACTGACCCTGAATCAAGGCCGGCAGCTTCCTGACACTGTTGGTTTCAAGCAGGAGCCTAAAGATATGTCTTTCTGTGGTCTGTTGGCCAGTTCAGAACTTGGGCAGTGAAACGGTCAATTGTTAGAAAGACACAGCTTGAAGGGACTCCTCCCGCCGTGAGCGGCCGTGAGTGTGGCAGGCTGCGGTGACCCAGGACAGGAGCCACCAGTGTTTACTAGGACCAGCGCCATGCAGGGACCTGGAGTGCTGGGAAACCAAACAACCCCTCTTCCCCTCCACCTGTTTTGTTTTGTTGAACTTCAATATACATGAAAGTGTGGACAGCTATTTGAAGAGAATGAGAGACTCTACGACAGCCATTGGTGACTTCCCTCTTGTCTGGTCTTGAAGACCTAAATCGCCTTCCTCATTCTGTTCGATCAGTTTTATACTATGTTGTTTTGTATGAATTCTCTGTGAAAACATGGACAACTATTTGGAAGAAAACAAGAGACAATATGATAGACAGTGAAGATCTGAGGTCGTCTAGCTTTGAAATTTATATCTCTCACATTGCTTTCTAATTCCTGTTTTGTTCTGTTTTGTTGTGTTTAATTTTGCCCCCTTTAAAATAAAAATTTAAAAAACTTTTGTCCTTCTCTTCTGAGATAATGAAAAACCAATCAAAAGACTGAGCAAAAATTTTGCAAAATACGGACCTGGTAGAAGACTTGTGTTTTGAATGTACCAAGAACTCTTGCAACTCAGTAGCAAGAAGAGGCAGGAGCTCCATCAGGTATATCTCTTCTCCCTTGGGATCAGTTACCCAGGCCAATCGTGCTCGGAAAATATTACATGGAAGATTCCAGAAACAAATCATGTCCAGGTTTTTGAATCAATGAAACTGCACTGGTGAGTGCCCTACAGCCTGGGACATCAGTTGTCCCTTTACCCATCACTTCAGTGCCACATGTGTGACCCACCTGTTAATCACTTCGCAGCTAAGTGATCAGTGGTCATGGTATCATAGTGCTTGTACTTAAGTGACCCTTATTTTGCTGAATATTGGCTCCAAAGCACAAGAGTATCAGTGCTGACAGTTCACATCCACAGAACAGACGTAAATCTCTTCCTTTAAATGAACAGGTGGAAGTTCTTAAATAAAATCATACACTGAGGTCTCTCTCTCTCCCTCTCTCGTGATCTTCCTGCCTCAGCTTCCCAAGGTTGTTGCTAACTTATCACTGTGTTGAATTTTGCAGCTAAACTTCATCCTAGGAATGTATGGGGGAAAAGCAGTACTCTGCTGTAAAGAAGGGTAAATTTGAGTCCTTAGGAAAATAAATGCCCCTTAAAACCATAACGTTAAGTGAAATAAATCAGTCACACATGCTTAAATATTGCTCGGTTTCTCTTAGATAAGAAATCCAAAGTATAAATAACTTAAAGAGCAAAATAAGGGCAGTGAGTAGGAAATGGGGAGCTAGATCTTTTACAAATGATAAAGGAAACTAGAGATAGAGGGAGCAGAGGGAGGAGAGTGGAAGAAGTAAAAAAACTAAGATGTGAATGCACGGCTTTCCTGTGGTGGTTGTAATCGTTATGTACTGCAGATGTGGACTACAGAAGCAGTGTCTATGAGGTTTGGCACTATCCACAATTCCAGTTGTCTCCTGGGGTCTTGGAATGTATCCCCCTGACAAGAGAGCAGGGTGAGCAAAAGACTGGTATCATCTCTCTCTCCTTCACAGTTGTGCATCTAAACCTTGACCGCCTTGGTGCAGTAGTCAGCCCTCCGTAACTGTTACAGAGTGCCTGAGACAGTCAACTTAAAGAGGGAAAAGGTTACTCTTGGCTCATGGTTTCAGAGCTTTCAGTCTGTCATTGCTTTGGTCCCATGGCGGCACAGCACATCACGATGGGAGCATGTTCACCCTCACGGCAGCTGGGAAGCAAAGAGAGAGAAACTGGAAAGGGCTGTGAGCCCACTATCCCTGTCCAGAGTGCAGCCCTGATGACCAGTTTACTCTGAATAGGCCCCAGCTTCTTAAGGATCTACCAGCTCCCAGCAGTGACACAGGTGAGAGACCAAGCCCCAGACATGCGAACCCTTGGGGGACACTTACCCAAGCCACGGCACTTGGCTTCCTGGGCTCTAACAGGATCTCCATAATTCAGAGACTGCCACCCCCAAGAGGATCCCTTAAGTCCCTCCACGCCCGTGTGTGCTGGGGTGCTCACAGGCTCGCTGATTACCTTTCCTCTCAGAGGCTACTGTCCAGTGCCCAGGACTTCATCGGTTGCTTCCCTGTTGGCTCTGTTTTTCGTGGCTGCAGGTTGGGTAGGAAAGGCCTCCTTTACAGCCAGGCCTCGGCGACTCAGAGCTTAATGGACAGCGAATGGTGACCCATGCCCAGAAAGGTGAAGCACAGCCCTGAGTGGCGCGGCTGAGCCGCTGCGAGGGAGACAACCGACCCGGCTGCTGAAGGCTTTTATTGCCAGGACGCCAGCCGCTCCACCCACCACCACTTGCTCCAGGCCCCTAGGCTGGGCTCTCCCAGCCTGGGGGCCTCAGCTGCACCTCAGCATTGAGTCCATGTCCACCTGGGGGTGCTGCCCTCACCTCAGACACAGCACACCCGGAACAAAATGCATCTTTCCAAATCCTGTGTCTACTCTTTGGCTGCCACCAGTCAGTGGTCTCGTCAGACCTGGCAACCTGTCTGTCACCAGGAGGCATCCCTGCCTCCTGCCAGCATCTGCCCCAGATTATCCACCCACCCTCTTTCCTGCACCCTGGCCCTGATTTTGTTAGTCTCTTGGGATCCCGGAGCCCCTGGGATGCAGGGCGCTGCATGCCCACCTGTTCTGTAGATTTGCGCTTGGGTGCTTGATTCTACGAAGTCTGCAAACATCCTTAAGGAAGTGGCTCTCCCAGAACTAATTGATAGCAGGTGTATGAATGACCCCTGACCCCAAGAGGGAAAATTCATCTTGAGATGAATCCCCTAAAGCAAGGCTCAGCAAATGTTTTCTTAAAGAGTCAAGATTTGACTCGGGAGTTTTCCTCGGGTAGAACCTGTACTGTTGTGATGTCTGTCCCGATGGACACCTACTCTGTGTGTGCGCGCACAGGTGTGTACGTGTGTGCATATATGTGCATGTATGTGTGAGCATGTTGTACAGGCATGCTTGAGAAAACTGCCTATGCTCTCTAGGCCTCAGTTTCTCCCCTGTGAAGGGAGTGGCAGGCGCCTGGGCTCGTTCCCACTGCCCCAGCAATGTGTCTTGGTTTGTCCTATCTTCTGTTTTTTTCTGGCTCACTCAGTCGTGGGGACCAAGTCAGGCAGTGTTTGGGGGTGGAGGGACCCCTGCAGGGACAGATCTCCGAGACTCACAAAGCTGCAGGGATGGCACACAGATGTCAGCTGAGAAAATTATTTTGAGGTAAATAAAGCAGAGACCTCGAGCACTCTCAAATGTACACCATGGGACACAGGGAACAGGCTTCCAGGACCCATTTTCAGCTGCTCATCTTCAGCAGCAGCAGGAGCCCGGCCAGGGTCCCCACCTCCCCAGGTGAGCCAGGCCGTGTTTGCAGCCAGGGCAGGAGCACCAGTTCCTCTGGACGGTTGATGCACAGCCAGGACGCAAGGCAGAAGCCATGCTTCTGATCCTTTTGTGGGAGGGAGGCTGGGGTGGGGGGTGGGAGAAGCTAGCAGGAGAGAACAAAGATTGACAGTGGAAGAGAGGCTAGGGCTGCAGATCTGGTGGATCTGGGGGTGAGGCAGAGCCGGGCCTGGAGGGGTCTGGCTACCCTCTGCGCCAGCCCCTGCTCTGGCCTCCCATTTCCCCAGTCTTCCCCTTATTCTAAAGCCAGACACAGAGCAGCTTCCCTCCCCCTTGGCGGTGAGTGAGCTGCATGAGGAGCTCCAGGGTGGCAGCTGGGGAGGGGCTACCACCCTGTGCCAAGAATGGGGACCGAATCACTGTTTTCATTTTTTAAAATCAAAACCCCGCATCAGGCTCTCCCACCCACCCCAGCTCCTCGGTTATCCTTGGGCCATTTGGTAGTTGTTGCTATGGAAACCACAAGCAAATGGCATGCAAATCAACACAAGCAATAACAACAGGAAGAGGGGGTGGCAGTGGGGATAAAGAGCCTGAGAGGGTCCCGGGCTCATCCAAGGAGGTTCCGCTCTGGAATCCGGTGGGAGGAGGAGGATGTGGACAATGCAGAGGGCTTGGTGTGGAGATGGGGTGGCTACAGAGGGGACAGTGGGAAGCTCAGGGGGCTGCCTGTCCTCCAGTTGGGTCTCAGATGTTAGTGAGTGAACCGAGGCTGGTTTGGAGGGAAGGCTGCTGCATATGTCCAGGGGCCCCTGGCCAGGAGACACTTTGCTTACAGCCACTTCAGGAGGGACCTGCAGGGCAGCCCTCCAGAACGAGGACTGGGGGCTTGGTGCAGACTGCTTGGCTGCTCCTCCTCCTGGAGACTGTCGCTGTACCAGGCCCCTGGGGCCTCCACCTCCTTCCTAATTATGTCTCACTCTGCAAAGGAGCAATGGAACAGCTTTATTTCTAGCAAGAAAAACCACAGCCCAAGAAAAGAACTACATGTATCGAGCCATCTTGATAGAAATAAGGACCGACCGTGGGGCGGATAATTGGGGAAATTTCCCTTTGTCCTAGGGTTCCCCATTTGGGGCTGATCAAAGTCACAGTGAATGAGCCCCATTGGCTGGTGGGTGCAGAAGCAGGGGAGAGAGAGGTCACACTGTCCCACCGGCTGGCCCCTCACCAGGGACAGTGAGAGGAGTGGCCCTTGGCCTTGGGACCACAGTCTGCTTTAACCCACAGCTGAGGTCTAAAGGACCCAGGGCCTGAGGAGGCCTGAGACCCTGCCAGGAAGAGCCTTCCTGATCTGTTCTGGGTTCTCCACTCAGAGCTCTCCACTCAGGGCTCAGTTCTGCTCTCTCAGCCCCTCACAGACGCTCGCTGGATGACCTGGTCATGAAGAGTGACATGGTTAGGGGGTATGACACGAGGCATCACACAGGAGCAAGGGTCAGTGCTCCCTCCCCTGTCCTCGGATCTCTAGAGGGTGCATCTGGACCTCAGCCAATTGGACAGTCTGGGCACTTGGAGGTAACTCTG